CCTTGCTGATACCAGGACAGCCTGTCATTAGTCCAGCCTGCTGGCATCACAAATACCATTATCTGGCTAAACCAATCATCACTTTATCACTAGAAAATGTGCTGTTTATTTTATAAGAGCATGGTAGGCCCTTGAAATAATTCAATTGCTTCAACTGATCTTACAGCACGCACTCCACTGGCCTGCAGGGCCACTTTCCATGGCTTCTGCTCTTCAAAGGGCAAGCTGCCAAGAAAAAGGGTTTGCAGGAGAGCCTGAACGAAGCTTGGGGAGAGAACAGAGTCCATCCACCAGCCCGAGGACAAAGAGATGCTGCCTGGGATCTGAATTTTCTGGCACCTAAGCAAATGCAATGGATGATTGTCCCTTTGCTAGGCTGCCTAAGAGAACCAAGGGGACAATTTGTATCTGATTGTTTGTGGCGGCAGAGTCAGGCTTGGGCATTAATTGAGAGGACCAAAATGTGGGCAGAGAGTTTGGGAGTTTCCCTTGGTGCCCAAATTCTGCAAAACACACTGCTCATCACATCAACAGGCTGATCCCTCTGGATTCACTGCACTTCTGAGCACAGAAAAAAAACCTCCGTGTCCTCCTCAGCAGGTCCAGCCCCACAGGATGGGGAGACCTGGTGAATCACCCACCTGCTGAGCAGAGCTGGAGCTCCCAGAGATGTGCAGCACCACGTGATTCCTCTTTAATTACACAGGGACTTAATAGAGTTTGCTGGTAAACACCTTGTAACCACATGTGCCTGGAGATTACTGGGTAATTATGCTTAGTGGATCACGATGTAACAGGGAGCATGATTTAGGAAAGACAGAAATAACCAGGCAAACACACTACATTCGTCAGTAGCTGTCATGCAGCCTTCCTGCCCCAATGCTTAGCTGTCCAGCCTTTCTTCACGTCTCCTTCCCTGGCTTTCTGAGAGTAGGGGAGCCCCTCGGCAGGAATTTGAGAGGTGCCAGGGATTGGGATGGTCTGGGGAAACTTTCCACTTGGCATTCCAAATCCCCTGCAAGAGCTCTCCACGCTCTGACAGGCTGTCAGCTGCTCAGAGGAAGAAGGATGGAGGATAAACAGTATTGGCTCACCCCACCCTGACTTAGTTTGCCACAGAGACAGATTCTGGCCTTCCTTTCCAAGGGTGCATGCTTGACACAAAAAGGAATCTGGAAGATCCCTGGTTTGTGAGCCAGTCCCAATCACCCACTGCCACACTGATCTAGATCCTGCCAAACCTGGTTTGACCCAGGAGTTCTCCAGGGTTTCATGTCCCCAGGAGTTGTGATGCTGTTGCTCAGACCAGTGTGGCCCAGAACAACAAGGGGCACCTTGCTCCTGACAAGATCAGTGCCAAGACTTTCAGCAGCCCCTCTCCCACCCCAACAGAGTTGGAGCAAAAAAAAAAAAAAGAGATGATGTGTAAATCCCATGGGGCCCACCGGGATGACCCCTTCTCACAGACACCAGTCACTTCGTGGACCTGCAGCACCCAAAACTGATGGCTCCCTCCAAAACAGCAAAAGGGATTATTCACACTCACTTCAGAGAGTCTTAAATCCTCTGGGCAATGACAGCTTCAACCCTTTGCCTTTTAATGAGCACAAACACAGCATCAGTCCTGTTAAACTCTCTGCACAGATTCCAAGGGAGGTGTTGAATGCAGACATAGGAGATTTTAGGGGGTGATTTTAAGGGATGTTCTCTTGGGCAAGGGTTTGTACTACAAGCTCCAGCTTCACTGGAAATGCCAAGCAGCACTGATAGGACTGTTTACTAACATATGAATTAATTTGCAACCAATTAGTAGTGCTAACCAGAGTGAGAGGCAGTGGTAGCATAGCTAATGTACATACCAGCACTGTGCCCTCCAAATGCTCACTGCACACCCAGCCAGCACCCCCTTGCACCCTCAGGGCCATCTGATCTGCTCTGCAGCCTCGGGATATGAGTTTATGCCTGAGATCAAGGGCTTTTTCCTCTTCATCTTAAAAGCAAGATTTCTATATGGCTTAGCCTTCATTATGGGAGAGATGATGACATGGGGCCTCCAACCCTGGGCCCCATACCAAGGTGAAAAGCAAACCTCTGTCCACTCAGCAAGTGTGCTGTGCATGGAGCATCTCCAGAGATACATCTGTAGCCCAGCAAATCCTGCCCAAGGCTCCTGGAGGCTTCACAGATAGCTTTGCTCAAGAGCATGGCTTGAGGCCAGCCATGGCCCACAGCCACAGGTTTCCTGCCTCACATCAACCTCAGACAGGAGAGAAGTGTTAACAAAATGCACCAAGCAAAATGGAAAGGAGTGGTGGGAATTCACAGATCAGATGGTGGCATTTTATCCTCAGCTGCAGCATCTCATCAATTTGCCAGCCCCAAAATTTTAGTGCTGCAGCCACAGGTACATCTGTACATCATCAGGCTTTGCACAGTCTGGCTTCATCATCTATCCTCCTCCTCTTCCAGTGCCTCCCTCTCTCCTCCCATCTGCACAGGCAGGGTCCTCTGCACCAGAGGGAGACCAGACTGGGGAGGCTGGAGTGTCCCTGAGCCTGCTGGTAGATCCCATCACATCTGAGCTCTCAGTCACCACAGGGGATGGGGGTAAAAACATATAAAAAGTCAAAGAACAGAGCAGCAGAGCTGGCAATGCCTGGGAGGGCTGGCAAGCCTCTGACAACAAGTGGCACCAAGCTCACCTGAGCCACTGGACACTTTTTGAACCAAAGGGGTACAAAAGGCATGGCAGGTCACAGCCAGGGAGCATCAGTGGAGTGGAACAGAGATGGTACAGAGAACACTGACACAAGGATCCTGGGCTTTGTTTTTTTTACTCATGGAGAGACAGATTTGAGGGATGCAGGCTGGGAAGGGATGTGCAGAGCTCGGCGAGGCAGCATCAAGAGGGGAGAGACAGCTTTTAGCAATGTTCACACCAGCCACAGAACATGCTGACGGGAAGAGGTGGCCCCACACCCCTGCTCACAGAACCAGCTGGGAGAAGATCGTGCCATTGCTAAGAAGAGATGAGCCAGCATTTGGGTATGGCAAAGCCCTGCTTTGAGAACCTCAGCTACTGGGAAAATGTCTGGAAGCCTAACGGGGCAATGCCCACTGCCTTGCAGGGTTTGCACACCCCTTCTACCTAGTGTGGTCCCAAAGGGACAAGGAATAATCCATAAATAATCAGCCCACGGCACAGTAAGTGATCAAATGCAACAGAGTTGCCAAACGTTTACTAAAATACATGGCTACTTAGAACGAGGTAATGGCAATATTTAAGTAAAGACTGCAAAGCCATCCAAAGGGCTGGGCAACAGCCATGGGAGCAGCCTGCTGCTGGTAAATCCAGAAGCTGAGGCACAGCTGAGTGAGGTGCCCAAGGCCACAGAGCAAGGCAGCAGCAGAAGGAGGAGCAGGTCCCAAGGGACTCCCAGCCCTGTGCTCACTGCCTGCCCAGTGGCCTCCTCCCGTGAGTCACGTCAGAGCAACGGGCAGGCAGCACGTTTAGTTCCCTGGCATCTTGCTGTGTGTGGGAGGACCCAGCTGAAGGAGTTTTGCAGCACAATCAGATAGTTATAACACACCAGTGCCATAAACAGCCCTTATCTCCATCAGCAGCTAAGTCAGCTATTAAGAGCTGGAAAGGAATCTCAAAAGGAACCAACACGCATTTGTCAAAATTGGCTTAGAGGAAGCTTAACAGTCCCACCTGACCACAGTGGTCACGACACTGACACCACAGCCCTCTCAGCACCGGACCAGAGCTCATCACCCAGAGGAGCAGAGGGAGGACCCTTTGTTATCAGGCATCCTGCAGGCTCAGAAAGAATCAGTCCCTATTGTTTCCTACCTGGGCAGCGCCAGCCCTGGTCCCCCGGGAAGGGGGCTTGCTCCTGTCCCAGGTGTGGCTTGTGCAAAGGGCACCTGGAAAGTTTTCTTGCCTCTGACACAGCCCAACAGAGCTGGAATCACCTGTTCTGTTGCCTTGCAGCGTGCCAAGGCATTTTTCACGGTGTTTTGCTTGGGAACCACCCCAAGCCCTCGGATTGAGAAACCTCAACACGCCAGTGCAATAGAGAAGTTGCTGCTCTGCTGCTTTCTGCCTGGGGGAGTGCTCTTCCCTTCACACAGCCTCCAGGACCCACAGGAGAGGGGAGGGGGGCTTCCCTGAACAAGTTATCCCAGGATGAAGCCCCTCAGGTGGCCATCAACATCAACTGCTTTGCCTATGGGCTCACTGCTTTTAAAGGAAGGGATCAAAGCTGTGCCAGCGAGGTGGGTACAGCTGTCACACATCACATCGGTGAGGAAAGAGAAATTAATTGTGACTTGATCAAACCTGATCAATCCTTCCAGACTTTGTAACAAGGACACAAAACCAAAAGTGACCAGACTAGTACCAGGTGCCAGGTCTCATCTTATGCAGCACATTTCCAAGCTCTGCTTCTTTAGAAATTCATACATAGCGCATGAGTGCCTCTGTCCCTGTCTCACACGCACAATAGAAACACCCACATCCCCAGCTGCAGAAGGTTCATGTTTTTCAGTATTGCACCTGTGCTTTGCTCAGGTCCCTGGTTTCTGGGTCCCTCCTTACCCTGCTCCTCCTCCCCATCGGCTCCTTCCCGCATGTCCGTTTGTCCACAGGCACTGGCAGCAGCAAGTGAGCCTGCTGCCTGTCAGAGCGCTCCTGGCTCCCTCTCACCATGTTGCGTATCGACATTTTAGTCGATGATCTGCCCTCCAAACCCCAGAAATACAAGCCAAGAAAAGTACTCAGTGGAGATAAGCACCACGGCTCAGCCCACATGAAAGACAGGCCAGGAAAGCCAGACCCTGTCAGAAAGCAAAACGCAGGCAGGAAAATAAACCAAAATTCCATCCCACTAGGCTTGTCAACGCTGTTATGACATTTTCTTTCCAATTCCTCCCAGCCAGATCGGCGCGGTATCAGCCCCATTCCCACAGCGAAGGCAAGAGGAAGCCGTACTCACTGCTAGTGCTCATCCTGCCGGTCCTCCCCTGTCCTTCTCATCCAACAAAGGGGCAAAGATGCTCTTTAAATCCGCTTTTCTTGACGGCCCCCGACCGCGGGAGGAGGCTGCCTCTCTCCTTTCCCAGAAGAAATATTTCCGTGCGATCCGCCGGCTATCACATCCCACGGAGGCTCCCCGATGCCGCCGGTTGGTCAGGGCTGGTCCCCAATGGCTCGCGGATGGCACAGGTCACTGGCTGCCGGCGGGCAGGGCTGGGGCGCCGGCGGGGAGGGAGGGGGCGCCCGGGACGGTGCCCCGGGCGGGAGCCGCGCGGAGCCGCGGGTGCCGGGCAATGGCTGTGTGTCGTGGCCATGCACTGCGGAGCGCGTCCGCGGCGCTCCGCTTATAGCGGGTGGGAGCAGGCAGCGCCCGGCGACCGCCGCACCGCCCCCGTCCGCCCGCCCCGGCGGCATCCGCCCGCGGCCGAGAGCCGGGCCGGGGACCGGGCACGCGGAGGCGGCGGCTGGCCGGCGACACGGACCGGACACCGGACCGGGACACGACCGGGCACCGACCGCCAGCATGGATCTCGAGCGCGGACCCGGGATCGCACTGCCTGTCCTGCCTGCAGTCTTGCCCGCTGCCCTGCCCAATGTCCTGCCCTGTCCTCCTGCCTGCAGTCCTGCCCACTGCCGTGTTTTGCCTTGCTCTGCCATGCCCTGCCCGCTACCCTGTCTGCAATCCCGCCTGTTGCCCTGCTTGCTGCCCTACCTGCAGTCCTGCCCACTGCTATGCTCTGCCATGCCCTGCCTGATGCCCTGCCTGCTGCCTTGCCCTTCCTGCAGTCCTGCCCACTGCCCTGCCCGCAGTCCTGCCTGCAGTTCTGCCCGCTGCCCTGCCCTGCCCTGTTCTGTCCGGCCCACAGTCAAGCCCTGCCTACTTCCCTGCCCTTCCAGCTGCCCTGTTTTCAATCCTGCCATCAGCGCTGCCTGTAGTTCTGCCTGTGCCTCTGCCTGCAGCTCTTAAGCCCCTTGGCTGGTCCCTCCATGTTACAGGGCTCCCACCCAGCCCTGGGTGACACCTGCTGCCGGCCCCACACTGCTTACTCTCCCTCTTGGCCCTGCAGTGCCTCAGCATCCAAGAAATTCCGTTCCAGGATAGAGGCGGGGGGAGGCGGAGGGATACAGTTTATGAAGAAAACTGAATTTCCTCTAGTGCAAGGGTTCCCTCCCGCAGCTGTCCAGGCTGGCACTCATGGCTCTCCTGGCAGCCTGAGTGTCTGTCCCACGCCAGGACCAGAGAGGGAGCTGTGGGTGTCTGCATGGCTGCAGGATGGAGAGGGGGCTTTCCTCTCGATATCAGCAAGCAGCCTTCTCTGCTGGCATCAGGATTCCTGGAAGGGCTTCAAAGCCCTCAGCTCCTTGTTTTGTCGGTGAGACGGCTCTCTATCAGTATAAAGCCATACCCAGGCTGCTCCCCAGGCGCCTGCGGAGATGGGGCTGTGCCCGCCTGCCTGTGGAGCCCCCGAGAAGCTGTGCTGTGATTCCAAGATGTGAGCTAATGAAAGAGGTTTTTCATGCAGCATGACAGGCGCCGCATCTCTCCCGCTCCTGGGGCTGGAATGCCGCTCAGAGAGGGCCTTTTGCTTTCCCTTTCTCTTGCTGTTTTATTTGCGGCAGCAGATGTTCGCGGTGACGTGACAAGACAGGTAGCTGGTCGCGTGAGCTACGCCTGTGCTGCCAGTGATACAGCCTGCTCTCTGCAAGCCCTGCTGCCTGTCCCCTTTGGCTGTCCCCTCCCCAGCGGTGTCAGGTGGCTGAGAAGAGCAGGACTAACAGTGGGGGCGGGAGCCTGGAAGTTCCTGTAGGGCTGGGGGGAACGGAGCTGCTGATACAAGAAGGGTGGAGCATGTAGTGACAGGACAAGGGGGAATGGCTTCAAACTGAAAGAGTAGTTTTAGATTAGATATTGGGAAGAAATTCTTCCCTGTGAGGGTGGTGAGGCACTGGCACAGGTTGCCCAGAGAAGCTGTGGCTGCCCCATCTCTGTGAGTGTGCAAGACCGGGTTGGATGGGGCTTGGACCAACCTTGGATAGTGAAAGATGTCCTTGCCCATGGCAGAGGGGTTGGAATGAGATGATCTGTAAGTCCCTTCCAACCCATGCCAGTCTATAATTCTATGATGATTCTATGATACAGTCCAGTGGGATGGCTTGAGCTGTCCCACAGTGCTGATTTGGAGCCCTTTGTGCAGTTTCCCTGTGCCTGAGGACTGTCCAGGTGTCCCCTTCTCAAGGGGAGAGCTCAGGACCCCCTGCTCATGTGTCTCGTATCAATAACACCCATTCGAGGAGTCAATAAAGCAGACACAATGTGAGCTGGTCCCCACGGTTCAGCAAACTAATTGAGCTTCTTCCACTGACCTGGTTTCCAAATCTTGTTAACTTGCTGCCTTCAGAACAACTTGAAATTTCAAGCACAGACAGGCTGGGATTGCTCAGGGGGCAGTGCAGAACCTCTTCTCCTTTGTCCCCTCCCAGCTGGGTGGTCCTGGCTCTGCAGAGCTGCACCGTGGGGAAGGGGGAGTGGGCACTGCCAACGAGGCCAGTGGGCAGGGTCTCAGGTGCTCCCCATGGTGGGATCTTTGAGTTTTGGTACTGGTGAGATGGCAACAAGGAGCTCTAATCCTCATCACCTCCCCACCTCAGCCAGCAGCTCCTGAGAAGGGAGTTGACCGTGTCCACGCTGTGGGGCAACGGCTGGCGCCCCTCACCACCAACACTGTCCCAGAGTGTTTTGGAAATCCCATTTCCTTTTCTTTGTTTGAGGAAACTGGCTGCAAAAGCTGCCATAAAAGGATGTTAGGGATGCCTGAGACAAGAATTCAGAAGCGAGGAAATGTCAGGATGTTAACGCAGCCTCCTTTCATCCCTTTGTGTCTGTGCACTGCAACACACTTTTTCACAGCAATTATTAGATGCGTATTTTTCCCACAAAACGCCTGCTTCATTCAGCACCTGGCATGTCCCACAGAGCTCAGGCTGGGAAGAGGAAGGTGCTGCCTGCAGGACCCCACATCATTCAGTGAAAACAGATACAGTAGTGATGAGAGTAAGAGGACAGAAGGAAAAAAAGTGCTAATTTCATTTCATTTTGCTGATGGCTTCCCTGGGCACTGGGTTTCTTATCCCTGCCTCCGTGCTCTTGTGAGATACTGAGAGTCACCTGAACCAAACATTCCCCCCCCGGGGGGGGAAACTCTGTTCCTTCTTTCCCTGATGCCTGACTGGAACACCAGCTGGAAGAGGTGGAAGTATCTGACTGCATGGGGAATCACCAGGAGTTGGGCTCAAAATGTATCTTTTGCTACACCAGCAGCAGGAATTCTGAGAAATCAGACTCACCGCCTGTCCCGCTGGAGGCTTGGGAAGCCAGCAGCTGTGTGTTCCCACGTGAGGAACCATGTGTGTTCCCATGTGCTCAGCCACTGTGCCTGTGAAGGGATGTTGGTCCCCAGGGCTGGAGGGCAGCCCCCATCCTGCCCCCTCAGAGCAAGGTGTCTGAAGAAAACCCCCAGGGAAGGGGCTCTCTCCTCACTCCTGTGTGACTTGGGGACCAGGTGAGGAATGGTGAGGCTACAAGGGAAATATTGGATAGCAGGTCCCAAGGCCAGGAGAGACAGGGTTAGGAGAGGTCAGAGTGTTAAAAAATCATATAAGATCCCTGTCCTCAAGGTGCACGGGGGGATGGTCCATCAGCAGCCTTAGCTCTGGCTTTTCTGGTTCATTTGAGGCCGTAGCATCCCTTCCGGCACACCCGGGTACAGACACACTCACATACATGTTTGCAAACATAGACCAGCTTTCAGAGATCTACCTGTAGGAGCCCCAGGCTTTCCACCCACTTTCTTTCCCCTTCAACTGGAAGTCATTTTGGTGCACAAGCTTTGCTGCTGGGCACTGAGAATCACTTGAGGAGTGGAAATGCCTTGGCCAGAGATCCCAGCTGCAGCCCTTGCCCCGGGGTGCTGTAGCACAAATGTGTCTGTCTGTCCCTGAAGCACCAGCTGGCCAAACACATCCCTGCCAGCCTGAGCCCCCGGCAGACCTCCTGCATGTGCACTGGCAGCAAAAGGCTCTCCTTTCTCAGCAAGAAGATTTAAGTCCAAACAACAGCAGTGAGACGCCCGTGGGGACCCCGGCGCGGCACAGCCCAACGCCTCGCACGAAGCAGTGGGCAGGCTGCAGAGAAGAAGGACTCTGACTCATCACAAGCTGGTGACATTTTCCAAAAACAGCCTTTAAGTCCAGGGCTGTAATGTTCCCAGAAGGCAGCAGAGAAGCCTAAGGGGTCTGGAGACCCCATTATAGCACAGCATAATGGGTATGGTCTGTGTCAAGGGATGGAGGCAATTCTGCCTCACTGGGCAGTTCCCCATCCATATTTCTCTTCTCTCCTGCATCCCCCATGAGGTGAGATCTGGCAGAGGTAAAGTCAGGATTGGTCAGATGCTGCTGCCCAGTGCCCCAGTGCAAAGCCAGCCTCACTCTTCTGGTGATGACAGAATTACTTTCCACATGATGGAGATGAGCATTTTACTTTATGAGTCCCTGGACCACATAGTAACTGGGGCCAGAGGCAGTGAACTAGGCAGTGAGTGTTTTAAGAGGGGACCCTGATGCCTCATCCAGTATAGGACCCCACTCCTCCTTCTCAGTCACAACAACCACCAAGTCATTTGCCAGTAGTTTGGCTTTCTTCCAGTTTACAAAGCAGCAAAACAGCCCTTCCCAGCAATTCCCTGCATCGGCAGGAGGAGACACAGACTGGCAGAGGCAGATGTTCCCCAGGCTGCCTGCATTAAAGTGATAATCAAATGATAGATTATTTTCAAGCAAACTCACATTTTCAGTCATTAATTTTAGTGCTGTGCAAATAGTTTCAGCAAAAAAAATAAATACCCAGACAGTGGAGAATGGTTGGGATCTGGATCTGGTCCAGGCAACGCTGATGCACCACAGCCCGTCTGTAACCTGTAGCAATCCTGCAAAGCCAGGAAGGGATGGCCACATCCTTTGGCTACATCTTCCTGCACATGAGGGCCTACAGGCCCTCTGGCATTATCCATCTTATCATCACAAAGGCTGTGTCTCTAGGTCAAATGCAACAAATTTCCCAAACCAACAGCAGATGACTGAAAACAAG